GCAAGGCATTCATGTTATTTATATAACCTGATTGTTTGTTCCAGCAAAGTCTCGCTAAAGAAAACTCGAATACGGAGCAAATACGAAGAAGAGAACATAATTTGTCATGCTGACGACCCGAAATGGCCATGCGCAAAAGAGCAAAGTACTCGCGCTCAGAAGAGATCCAAAAAATAAATTTTCCGTAATTGTTCCTCAATTCCTCTTCAGTGAATCTCAGCAAATTACTTACTGTGCCTTGTATACAATGACAGAGTTGATTAAAAGCCAAATGGTAACTGCTGCCTAGGTCAGCAAAATGGGCGTAAAGAGTGTTAAAGGAAACGAGTACATCAGAAAAACAATCGCATTTGGTTGCGCAGTCAGTAAATTTACTGTACTGAGAAAAGAATAGGAGCGAATGGTCAGAAAGAAAAGAGTCGAGATAGAACCCCATGATGTCATTTATGTTTTAATAAAGCTCTCTAACGTCCGTTCAAATAATACGTTCTTACTATTAAATTTACTAAGATAACTTAAAATTTTGGCTATTTTTGTCTTGTTTTTTTATTTTGTTTTTTTATATTGACGCGGTACAATCGGTTACCTCAATCAACATGGGAGGAGATGGAGGAAGCATCCCTCGGAGGGAAGAATTAGTAAGAAAGAAAAGGATACCGGAAAGAGTCAGCATCAATGATGCAAATGCGGCTAGGTGGAAACATTGTGCATTGAGTCAAGAGTCCTTGAGGGATCCTATTGTGATGTGCAGGCTTGGGAGGTAAATTAGCGTATATTTGTCATCAGTAGACTTTACAACAAAGAGTCTATAATAGAAAAACTTTTGGAGAAAAAAAATTTTGCCTGTTCAGTTGCTGATCATATCAAAAAGCTCAAGGATATACGTGAATTGAAGTTTTCAAAATCTACAATTATTAAGCAGGCCTCTTCTGCTCTCGATCCTGAACGCGTTGAAGTATTCACATGCCCTATCATGGATTTTGAATTAGACGGACATTATCCAGCGATTGCTTTGTGGAAATGCGGATGCGTCTATTCGAAGCGTGCATTTGATTCTGTGTCGTCAGATAGTTGCCTTATTGTAAGTTATAACGCCAGATGCATTCTTACCTTTCTTTCCCATCTAAGAT